TACCCAAAGTGTCACATGTATCAATGCTGTTGGGCTCTGTATGAAGCAGAGACTGGATGCTGGTATTTGGGAAGAAAGGAAATCAAATAGCCAATGAGCCATGATGAAGGAATAGATGGATGGAAATATCCTTTTTTTGGTCAGCCGGGTGCCCGACACGTGCCAAAACCCATCACCATTCTTAAGAGTATCCTAACCGAACTGAGAATTCCACGCAGCCCCCCCTACACATGGAAATCCCAGAGATAGATTATCGGAATGAAATGCGCACTCTCTCCCTGGAGGGATGCATCCTGTGAACCTAATTCCATTATTATTATGATTATTATTATTATGATTTATTATTATGATTCATTATTATTTTTATTATTATTATTTATTATTATTATGATTTATTATTATTATTATTATGATTATTATGATTCGGCTTATTGTGCCAACTCTTTGAATGAGCTACCAACTAGTCCCACTCCCCCGCTCTTAGCCCATAATCCTGTAAATTCTTCCTTTTTAAATACCTATCTAATTCCCTTTTGAAAGCTATTATTGAATCTGCTTCCACCACCCTTTCAGGCAGTGCATTCCAGAATGTAACAACTCTGGGTAAAAAAAAATATTCAAGTTTGTTTCTCCTCGTTCATTCAGCTTTTTCTTTCTCCTAGGTACATATTTCTATGTTATATTCCTCCTGTATATAAAAATAATCCTTACACATCGTTCATTCGTCTCAAAGCGCTTCACATGAAATACTGTAAAATGATTTTTGACTGTGTATTTTGTGGGAAAAACGCGACAGCCAATTTGCACACAGCAGTGTCCCACAAATATAGCAACTTTCATGTCAAGAAGCCATCCCAAAGCACTTCTCCGGATTTACTGCGATGTACAGTGACTGCATTTTGTAGGCGGATGCAGCAGACAATTTATCATTCAAGTCATTCAATTTATTTAATTTACCATTCAATTTATCACAGCAAGTACCACAGTCATGAAGTGAATGACTGATTTTTATTTTGGAAGATTGCTGGCCAGGACACCAGGAGAAACTTCCTTTTCATTTTGAATAGGGAACAGGATACAGGACTTTGGGGTAACATCTTACCCAAAGGATGACTCCAATAATGCAGCACACCCCTAGCACTGTATTGGAACGTCAGCATTCAAAATCCTGACGTGCAGCTTGAATCCACAACCTTATGACAATGGCTAATTGAGATCAGATCAGAAGTATTCGATGATCTACCATGCTTGCAGAGAAGAAGTTACACTGGAGCAAATATGTCAAACAAGGAGAGGACAAGGTCAATATCTTTTAAATGGGGAAAGCACTTAAGGAAAATTCATAATTAAATTTTCATTTAAATCAAATTAGTCCCACATGAGAGAAGACAAAAGATTTTATGGTCTGACATTTTAAAAACAAGATATGGAAAGAATATTGTTAATGGCAGACAAGGATTCTCATGCTAATTATAATATATTGGAAGCTCCACTCCAGCAGTGTTTGATTACACTATTGCTGATGTAAGGTACTCTCTGCTGCTGCACATTTGGCAGTCGCCAAACAGTTGAACATTAATTTAAAGAGCCTACATTTTTATAGCACCTTATCACGTTGTAATGTCTCAAAGTGCTTTCTATCTGCATAGAAGCTTGAAATCCACACCAGGAAAAGGTAACACGTTGCAGCCGAGTCACCGTGATTCCTGCGTCTCCAAGCAGACACACCAAGAGCAGCACTGACAGGTTTGGGGACAGTGGTCTGTGTACTATGGCTAGGGAATGGTATCTGACCCTACAAACAGAACAACAATTAAACATGAAGCATACTTAATTTGTTAATTCATCTCTTGTCTTTTTGCAATAAACAAGATACTTAGACCAGTTGATCCCAGTTTGAACATTCAATGGATTGTGGCTGAGGTGGAGATTTTCAATACTATAGAAATTTACATTTATATAATGCTGGGAGGACATCCCCAGGTGCTGGACTGTCAAGAGTTTACATCCCAGCTAGGGGTGGGGTTTGAGGGGTTGGAGTGGGGGTAGGAAGGTAAGGAGAGAAAAATGGCTGAAAGTCCGGTCAAAGAGGAAAGTCTTGAGGCTTGACCAATTCATAAGGTTTAATTGTTAGAAAGGCCAGTACATTTACTGACACTGAACACATTTTTAATCAGATCAAAAACATAGATTGTGCTTCTCCAGAGCCAGAGCACTCCCAGGGCCTAGTCTATTATTTCAAAAGATAGGTTGAGGTAAAGAAGAAATTGGGTCCTTGATTAATTAGTTCCTAAATACCACCTACTTTTTTTGTAAACAATTAAACAATATTAATGATTTTTATTGTTTCAAATTTTGGGGTAGAAATTCCATCTGGGTTCTAGAATTACTCTATTGATGTACTAATAATATAATAATGATCCTTGCATTTGATATAGTGCTTTTCACGTCTTCTAGACGTCTCAAAGTGCTCCCCAAGATATACTGCAAAATGGAGTGACTGTGAATTTTGTGAGCAAATACGGCACACATTTTGCACACAGTAGTGCTACAAACTGAGCCAGGCTGATACAGAAGATTTCTATGAACAACAATAAACAGGTTTCAAATTTAAAACTACGTTCAGGAATTGGCCAAATGCATAACAATTTATAATGCCTTATTAATATTATGATGGAACTGTACTCGAATAATGTGCTATTTATTTTTGTGAATATATAATATGCCCTGTTCAGCCTTGAGTTTATTTTGGATTTGGTCAGTTTTTTTGCTAGGAGCCAACTATCAGAATCTTATTGTTATGGTGTCAGCCCCAGAAGATCAGTTTGCATGAAGGAGGCCCTTCAGCCCATTTGATTTCATCCATCCAGAGTACAAACCTTACCATCTTTCCATTATAGACCTAGGCATTCTTTAATGAACTCAGTGTTTCTGTGTTCAGTGTCCGCACACTTTCTTGGTAATCCCTCTGCCCCCACACTCTGGAACTCCATCCATCCCATGGTCCCTTCTCCTCGCTTCCTCCCTTACCTCCTTCAAGGCCAGTCTCAAGACCCTTCTCTTCGACTGTGCCTTTGGTTTCCCTCCCACCTCTCTGCCTTCCCTCACCCCTACACCACCCCTCCCCAATGCTCGGGCCCCAACACCTGACTGTTCATGCTTTGGGACGTCCTCCCGACGTGAAAGGCGCTCTATAAATGTAATTTTGTTGTTGTTATTGTTGTAAGAAGTCCCAGATGTTGATTAGTCTCCGTGTAAAAAATATTCTGTGGTGTCTGTCTTAAAATTGGCCTTCACAATCCTGAACCTGTGACCACTTAGTGAACAAATATTTTGCTCCGTGTGATACTATGAAGGCACGTTGTAATATTCAAATATCCTGGGAAAGAGAACATCACAATTTTAATACAGCTCTACTTCTCTTCACTATATTGATTTGTTATACATTTGACATTTGTGCCTTCAAAGTTAAAATATGAGAAAATGTTTCAAAGATACAAAGGCTAAACTAGATTTACTAATACTCAAAACTAATGTTAGAAAATGCACTAATTTGAAATGAAACTCACCAAAAAAAATTCTATTAAAAGTGTCTGTTCAGTTGTGATCTTCGTTTCAGAATCAATACCATCCGACACTACTATAAATGTTACTAAGACACTGAATTAGCTTTTGTTCCCCATTTTTCAGTGCTCTTTCTCAGTTAAACTGGAGCACATTTTTAAACCAGTTTAGCCAAATGTTTACTTCTTTTTAGTAATGCACTTGTGTATTCCAATCCATATAAATTTCTAATATTTCCTTTTAGTAATGCATTTGTTTATTCCAATCCATAGAAACTTCTAATTGATAACAGATTAGCACAGAAGGAAATTATGCTAAACCTGTTTGTCAAAACCCGAGGCAGTTTAATGTTAATTTGCTAAATGTATTGACTAGATAACAATTATCTCCAAACACTGAATATTCAATCGTAAATTTGTCTGTATCCCACTTTCTTGACATACAGTATAGAGGCAAAGTAACAGAAAGGCCTAAAGCTTTGAATCCAAAAAATGCACTTGCTCAGAACAGAACAGTTATGAATTAAAGACAATATTGGATCTGCATCCAGTTTCTAAGCAGTTGCCCGACCTGTAAAGTGTGTTTGAGATATACTCCACTTTGCTGCAAATTTCAGAAATATTAACAGAATTTAAATGGCTACCCTTTCATCTATCTTTCAAACCAATTCTGAAAAATATTTAAGTTTTAATATAAATTAATCAAGAGCCACAGAAGTATGCAATGTTACAGTTTTTTAATACAGTATAAACAGGTTCTTTTGGCACAAGGGTTTACATGGATTCTAAAATGATAAAATCCACCTTAAGACACACCATAAGAATATTACAGTATTGCAATAAATCAATGACTTCATATTTTGGAAAGACATTTACATATTTAAAAAAAGAATCACTGACAGTTTCTGTAAAAAGGACACTGGGTTGTCAGTTTGGCACAGTTATTGAACAGCCCACCTTCTTGAGATACAGTACAGTGGCAAAGTAACAGAAAAGCTGAGAGTTTTGACCCAACATACTGCGCTTGCTCAGAACAGAATAGTTTTGAATTACAGACATTATTAGATTGCATCCAATTACTAAGCAGAGCCCTGCTTTCTGAGACCATTTAAACCATAATCCTACGGCGTGCATCCTGACCTACAGTGAGTGCAAGCACACACCAGTTCTATGTCGGAATAGCAGTTTGGAAGCTGAGAAAACTATGAAACAATAGCCATGTGCTTCGAATTTTAGTTTGCTTATTCTTGTTTAGAGCCAATATGTAGAGAACAGGCTACTCCCAATAAATAATTCAGAACTTAGCATAGATAGCATAGATGTATTTAAAGGGAATCTAGATAGGTACATGAGGGAGAAAGGAATAGAAAGTTATGCTGATAGGCTTAGTTGAGGATGGGCAGGAGGAGGCTCATGTGGAGCATAAACACCGGCATAGACCAGTTGGGCCGAATGATCTGTTTCTGTGCTGTATATTCTAACTTTACAGTAACACGTAATACTAGCCACATTTGGTCATACGATGGAGACAATTTAGGCTGCAGTTCAGAAGCGTTGAAGATAATCTCAGCATTGAAAATACTCAGGGCTCTCCTCTCCTGCCCAACAAAAATAAAAATGTCGACACAGATTCTCCAGTAAATGAATCACTGAATGTTTGTGGATCTACAAAAGCACAGTTTAATCTGTGTAATACTCTCACCATTTTGGTTGGTGATTTTTTGGGGAAAAAAGAAATCTGTAACTTATTAATTCACAACAGACAAAGTAGCAATGCTTTCAATTTGTCAGCAACTTCAGCCAGAATTGAGTAAAATACATTTCTGTTCTGAATTAATACAGTACATCAAAAGACTGGTTATTTTATCTGCATCTAAATTAAAAACACAATCATTGTCATTTACATCTCAAAAAGTCACTGAATTCTCAATTACCTTGTCTTGAAAACAGATTGAATTCCTCTTGTGCTGATTTATCAAGCAATATAATGTATTCACAAAGAATGGAACATGGATCTGCAGTCTTCTTTTCCTATATCAAAGAACATTCAGCTTGCTACACAATCCAGTTCAGTCAATCTAGAACCAAGTTATAATACAGCTTCAGCTTTGGGTCAAGGCTCTATTACACTTCCTCAGCCCAGTGTAACAATAATAAACTGTAAAAAAAAGAAAAAAACAGTCCATATATTATAAATCTGACCCCAATATTGAATGAATGAGCTATGACGCAGACATCCAAAGATGGTTTATCAGGGCAAGATTATTACCCAGTTGTCCCAATCTACATGTAACAGGTTGTGCATAAAGCATTTTTTTCCAATTCTGTTTGCTGATCTGGGTACCAAGGATCCTGTTAGTTTGCAAACCAAACAATGACATTGCTTGTAAATGGATGAGGAAATTTTTTTATGAATGAGTTATCCCAAGCATTTCATGAAGCTTTTGCAGGGCTCTTTGAATTAAAAGAAACAAGATGTTGGTGTTCGTCTTGTCTATTCTTTAGTCTTGCTGAAGAGGAGCAGATTGCCGTATTCGGTTTTGTTTGAGGTCACTCCACATGTAGTCATAAACGAAACTTTAGTACCAAATATTCAGCTCTGCTCTGACCACTTTATTGAGTGGTATTGAACTAATACTGGGACTGAGCAAAAAGTTAGTTCTCAAAAATTATTCTTTTCCTTACTGCATTGAGAAGCTGTCTGTACAGTTGTTCTTGAAACTCTCTTAAATATTCCTTTGTTAACTGAGTCATGAGATGTAGCTTTGTCAGCAGGCTTAATTGGGTCTTACACAGACTATTATTCTAGCAGCAAATTCATATTGTGAAGATAAAACCTTTTCTTCTTCTCAGCAATTTGGCTTCACATGACGCTGTTCTTTGTACCTGAAGCAACAGAGAATCGTCACCTGCGGCCTGCTTCATGCTTCTTTTCATTTTGTGTGTGTAAGATGCAAGGGCCGGTACAGACTGCCCACACACAGGTATCTCCAAAGCACACCATGCCAAAACAGTTTAAACTAGTCTGCTGATTATTGCAACATTAACCAACACTTCCAGTAGTTTAACAGATCAAAGTAAAAAGTCGGGTACATATTCTTAGAGAGCTTGATAAGTATTTAAAATGTGTAGCAATCGAAGATCATTGCATCATTTTGGATTTACAGGTGGTCTGTAAACCACTTTCCACATGCTCTAAACCTAGGACAGTAAATAGGTTTCTCAGTGCGCAGTCTCCTCTTTTTATATCCTGGTTCCATGCTTTTTTAAAAAAAACATTGTCTGAAATCTCCAACGGGTAAACATTCATAGATCTTTACAGCACCTATTCTGAAACAGCGTTCCACTTTCAAAAATGCGACTTATTCTCGATATACAAGAGCTCCATAAATCCGTGACCAAAACGCACAACTCCATTACATGGCGAGTGCAACCCATTGACCACCAGCTAGGCTTGCTCCTAAAAATCTCTTAAGTGCACAATAAAAATCAAACTCTCATTAAAACACATTTCAATAAATTATACATTTTTGATTATTGCTGCATGGTACACATCTTAAAAACTGCCCAATATTTATTTTTTGGATTTTCATTAATTTAGAATACATATATAGGTGAGTGCTTATGAACACTGCTTTGGAAAACCACTATATGCACATTTGGTAAGTAACAATATAACAGTTTATATTAACTTACATTTTTCTTAAATATAAAGAGACATCATCCCTTTTTTCAACCTGCACAGAACATACTTCAGAATCAAACTATACACTACACCCAAATAAACACTTTGTCGCCTTTAAATAGCCTTTTTTTAAAGAACCATTTTGCGTTCTTAATAAACTGAAAAATCATTCTTATAAAGAAATTTCTTTGGAGCCCATAAATTAATGTGTCAATCAGTGCATCATTTCTCACTCTTACAATCTGACAGCAAAAATGAATGAAAATTGGTTAAAATGCAAACCGCGTGTAAATGTTACTTTTAACAGCCTCTACATAACTGCATAGAGAAAGAGATACTGTCTCTTTGACCCAGTAAAATCCATTGTTTGCAATTAAAAGACTCTTCAATATTGATAAATTTCTTCAGGTTGCTTAAAGTACCATTTGAAATATCCTCTTGGAACAATTTGAAAACTAAATATACAAAATCCTTGATGATTAGAGTAAATCGAGTGGAAGAAACATTACGGGGAAATATTAATTTACAATTAGGCTTTGTGCAGTTGCTTCTCCTTACGTAATGGACAAAAAACACTAAAGAGCGCAGAACATATCTTATGGTGATATGGAATGCTACAGGGAGCCTAGGGTGTTCCAACACCTTCCAGTAAGAAGAAAGGAAGATTTCAATCTGGCCTCTATATGTACTGTATCTGGGTGAAGATGCTGATACAAAGGTTCACGTTTTAGCTGCCTTCTATTAACTTTGCTAAGTTGTCTCGCAATTCCGTTAGTTCAAAGATTTTCCCATCTAAAATTTCCAGAAGTGTTTTTAAATTATTGCGGAAGACGCCCTGCTCATTCTGACTCTTCTCCAGCCGCTGCTCCAGGTCTGACAGCTGCTCCACCAGGTCTCGGTTATGTATCTCCACTTCCTGCAACACAAGAAAAGGGGGTTAAAGGAAGAGTTTAATTCAGTCATTGCAAGAAAGATCCAGATTTTGGAGGAATAAACTAAGTGTAAAAATACAGACAATTAAATAATAGTAATAATAATAATCCTTGCATTTGATATAGCACCTTATTACATCATTGAGATGTCTCAATGCGCTTCACATGATATACTATGAAATGGATTGACTGTATATTTTGTGGGCAAAATGTAACAGCCAGTTGCGCATAACAATGTCGCACAAAGAGCCATAGAGAAGGCAAAGTAATTGTTGCCCCCAAATAAAAAATAAACATAATAACAAAAGAGAAGAATCTCAGCTGGTGCTGAAGAGGGAAGATATATTGGGCATCACAGGGTTAGGGAGGGGAAAACTAGGAAAGGTTCCTGCTCCTGGTCCGTCTTCAGCATCCTCTACTGCTTGTGCGTGTGTGACAGCTGAATAGGGAGAGGTCAGACTGGGCTGTGATGCCCTCTAATGCCAACACTCACTGCCAAGGCTCACAGATGAACAATGTTCATTTGGACAGGGTAGCGGAGATCAACCAGCTCTTGTGGACCCACAACCCAGCAAGAGGAGGCCAGACCAGGAGCAGAGACATATGCCAGTAGGAAGAAGATTAGAAAAATAATTAGACACACTAAATTTTCAGAAAAAGAAGAAATGGAAGAAGCTGAAGAATTACAAGATGGAGGTTAAATTGTATTTCGTTTCCTCAGAACTCTGTGATTAATTACCACTTCTCATTAGTATAGGTTAGAGTCCTCACTGCTACAGTATGTACAAATAGGGAAATTAATATACAATACTGGCTCCAAGGTGATATGTTTCACAACAGAATGTCAGAATTAACCCTCCGTGGTAATCTAGGTAGTTCAGTTCCTGAGCCAGGTGAGACCACAGTATTCCAGGGCAGTGTTGATGACAGATTAGCCAGCCTGGCTCATTGGCAGGTCTTGGAAGGGCTGTAAGGTTCACCAGAAAGAGACTTTACCCAATACAGGTGGTGTGGATTACAAATCATTTAATATCATACACAATTTAAAAGTTAATGCTTTAACACGTACAATTCATATATCGTTAAGTTACATTAAAGCAGTAAGATTCAACAAAAACTATATTACCCGATTCCATTGAGGAAGTCACTGACCACCAGCTGTCTCACAACTGTTCCTCCTACGATAATTCCAACTATTTTAAAGTTACATAATTTATGTGTTTCTAACTGCAGCCCCACCCTTGTCATAGAGCATGGGAAAATAACTGATAAGGAGAAAGAGATATGGACAGCTAATTGGGAGAATTCCCGTTGCTTAGTGTTGAGCGGATCAGATGTCCAGGAGTGTGCTTCTCTCTCTCTGAACCCCACTGGTTTCACATCTGTGCTCAAGGACATGATTTCTTAATTCCTAGATTGGAGGATGACATAGGACCTAAGCACCGAGTGAGGGAAAGTTATCAGAACCTGACTTCAGCCAAGGTCAAGCCAATATATCTTTACCTTTGCTAATGCTAATAGCCACATGTACCCTCTCAGGGGCTCTCAGTTAGTCATTAAAAACACACAGCCTTGTCTGATAGCTTAGCCCTAATAGCTAAGGAATGCTATACTAAACAGATTATAAGTGTTTGGTTATATTTTAAAGTATACTAATTAAAAATCTTAAAAACAGTAATCATCATAAATATAATCTTACAGGACAGACCAGTCACTTTATATGTGAGATGCATGAAAATCTCAGTTTGGTTTGGATACTCTTAAGCATGGTGATGGGTTTCCACATGTGCCAGACACACAGCTGACCAAAACAAATTCAAGAATAAACTTATAGGTATAGAAAATAGATGATGGATCCAATCATTCCCAAACTATATTATAAAACCCTTCTTTGGGATCAAAACTGTTTGAGTCCATAGATCAGTTACACGTTTAGTCTTCTATATATTCTTGATATATATGTATATATATATATACACACATCATATATATATAATGGTTTCCCAGAAATGTTTCCCCTCCTCCATTCAGTACCTTGGCACGATTCCCAGCAGTTCTGTTTTCATTTCAGAGACTAATGACCCTACCAAAGCCAGAACTGAAACCAAGGACTGTATAGGTCAGTACTGTGATATATCCAAGCCTTAATAGTCACAGGCACTGAGAAAAGCCCTCCTGCAAAGATGAATTTTGAGAATGTTGTTACTGATGAGAGATTTCCCAGAATAAAATCTAGTTCTGTACAAACTAGGAGCTTAAGTTCAAACTACCACTATAACAACAACTACAAATATAGCGCCCTACACACGGGATAGCGTCCCAGAGCGCTTCGCCTTCCTCCCTCCCTTAACTCTGAATGAGGCAAAATAAAGTACTGCACCTAAAAGCAAACTGATATTGTGAGAAACTTTGAAGCATGAAATCAAATACACATGTTGCTGCTCTGAACAATGAAAGATGTGGATATGGAGACCCAATGTGTGTCTGCTCACTGTCACAGATACATAAATCCAGAGGATCGTCATAGATGCTTCACTCCGGTCTAGTGCTGCTTTTTTTCCTCAGTATAATACATTGGGATCAAATGGGAGGTATTTACAACAGGATTGTGTCTCTATTATCTACACTATTTACTATTCAGCGTAACAAATGAAGTGAATCCTGTTGTAAACCAGCATGTTTTCAACCCCAATCTAGTTATGTCATATTTTGCCCCAGAAGGTTGAAAGACAAGGAGTAGAGAAAGGAGCAACGAGGGTGAGAAATGGAGAAAGTTCGAAAATAGATTGAAAATTTGCTGATTTAGAGGAAAGAAAGGTTTGTGGAGCTGAATTATATTGGAAGGAAGTGGCCACTGTGCATAGATTATATGAACAACTTGGAAGTGGGGACAGAAACAAAGTATTTGTTGATAAAACCAGCCAACAAACTTTCTAGCAAAGGGAATAAGTAGACAGAAGAAAATGCACGTTGTTTTAACAATGATCAATGTTAAGTGATTAGTCTAGGGTGGAGGGATGACACTTTTACATAAATCCTTGATTTCCAGAGGCCACTAGAAGCAAATGATGTTCTGCACATGCATTGCCTAAGTACTGTACTGCAATCATGTCCAGGCATCTGCACAAACCTCCATTAACCACTAGTGAATTCCAACACCAAATGGCAGTAGAGGAGGCCGGGGAATGTCCCCAAAAATCAGGTGCCTTTGTTCCCAACTTTTTCCGCGATTGTACTATTGTGATTTGATGAGGTGGGAATACAAAATATTTCTAATAGCAGATCATGCATGTATGATAATCCTGCTTTTATTGTGATCAAGATATGCAGAACATTCAGGGGCCTGCTCACTTTCCAACTCCACAACTTTTCATTATGGGATCAAACGTCCTATATGGTGTAGTAAAGGTAGGTCCAACTTGGGTCTTGTGAGAATCAGAAGACAGGAAGACTACACATTTTACAATATAAATTGCCTCCATTATATTAAGAATGGTGAATATACGTTTTATTTTACTGAGTGAAGCAATGGGTTCATAGTGTCAACAGTTTCAAGAGGAAATTAGATAGGCTTATGAATGGTAGGCAAACTGCAGGGTATATGATTTGGTGAGTGACAGAATTTAGAAGGATAGGTAGTACTGGTCTCTTCCTTCCTTGCACTTCTTACACTCAATTAGAAAAAAGATAATCATAGAATCATAGATTTGTACAGCACAGAAAAGGGGCCATTCGACCTATCGTGTCTGTTCCGGTTCTTTGAAAAGACCAATTCAATCCCACTACCCCGCTCTCTCCCCATAGCCCTGCAAACTTGTCCTCCCCAAATAATTATCTACTTCTCTCTTAAAAGTTGTTATCGAATCGGCTTCCATTACCCTTTCGGGCAATGCATTCCAGATCCAAACAACTAGCTGTGTGAAAAATTTTCTCCTCACCTCCCTTCTATTTTAAATCAGTGTCCTTGGGTTTACAACCCATCCACCAGTGGAAATAGTTTCTCCTTGTTCACCCTATCAAATCCTCTCATAATTTTGAAAACTTCTATTAAGTCTCCTCTTAATCTTCTGTGGTCCAAGGAGAATAATCCTAGCTTCTCTAGCCTCTCCTGATAACTGAAGTCCCTCATTCCTGGTACCATTGTGGTAAATCTCCTTTGCACCCTCTTCAATGCCTTGACATCCCTCCCACTCCTCACTACCACTATAACCCGCAAGAAACCGACCACCTGCTCCTGGACCCCCATCCCTACCCCTCTCCTTATGTCCCAGCTCCACCTCCTTGCTCCTCTACTCACAGACATCATAAACCTCTCCCTGTCCACTGGTACTGTTCCCAACCCATTAAAAATGGCCATCATCACGCCTATCCTTAAAAAACCCTCCCTGGATGAAAGCTAACTTTCTTCAGTTGGACCCTCCTGATTGGCTGAGGATCATCCAGAACACTGCAGCCTGTGTCATCTTCCACACCAGGCTCCGTATCACCCCCATCCTTGCCTCCACTGGCTTCCCATCAAACAGAGGATACAGTTCGAGATCCTGGACCTCACCTTCAAAGCCCTCCATTGCCTTGCTTCCCCCTACCTCTGTAACCTCCTAACTTCTACCATCCTGCCACTCCCTCCGCTCAGTGGGCTCTGGCCTACTTTACGTCCCCCGCCTTGCCCACCACATCATTGGCGGGTGGGCCTACTGCCACTCTGTCCCCACCATTTGGAACTCCATCCCGCAGTCCTTCTACCTTGCCCCCTCCCTTGCCTCCTCCAAGATCCATCTCAAGACCCTCCGCTTCGACCATGCTTTCGATCACCCTGCTTCCCCCCTGTCCTCCACCCTCCCCAATCCCAACCCCCAGCTCTGGTCCGAAACACTGACAACTGGTGGACACCACTGCACACTTTCCTCCAGTCAGAAAAATAATCGTTCACCACCACTCTGCTTTCTGTCTCCCAGCCAGTTCTGTATCCCTGTTGCCACTGTCC